GGGGCCCCAGCTCCTTCATATCTCCCTCTGGATGAACCCTAGTTTGTCATGTCAGATCTGGTGCACAGAATCAACAACCACACTGACCATTGTCTGGCCATTAGAATCCTATCTAAGCTAGAGGAGCAGTGGCTGTTTTATAAGAGGGCATAGTGCATTATGAGAATAGTCAAGTTGCCAACTGGTATGGGCAGGGCTTCACAGGTCAGGAAGGGAAAAGCCAGTGTTTATGAGCCAGATGTAGGGAATGGGTAAATTGTGGAATGGAAGAGTGGTGTCTTCTTCCAGGATGCCAAGTGGAGAAATAGAGTTTCAGTGGGCTTGCTGTAGCATGTACATACTTTCCGGTCAGCAGTGTAAATAGAGGCCCTCACCACAGCATCGCTTCTTATAGGGAGGATTAGCTCTGGCTGCCACACTAAGCCAGGGGGCCTAAGGGAAGCATTTTCTACTCTGCAGAGTGTGACCAACCTAAATGTTTCCATCTAAGCAGGTGAGGGTTCCTTCCACAATGAAAGGAAATATGGATTTCTCTTCCAAGGCTCAGCTACCTGGTATTTGTTCATTTTATAAACAATTACAAGAACTTAAAATATTCTTTGGGAGGCAAAGAAAAGGTCAGAGCACTATTGTGATGTTGACAGGTGGTTGGAAAGTGAAGGTTTCAGTTGGTCATCTTGTTTTTTACATACACAAGATTGAAAAACGTTCCCTGGATTGCTTTTTCCCTGAATCAACTGGCAGTTTTAGCATCAGTATGGGTGCAGTTCTAACCCCTGATTGGTTAGCAGCTATCTTTCTAAATAAAACAAAGCAAAGAAACATAAAACAAAGATAGAAGAAACCAACAATAGCAGCAGCAGTAATAGAGTATAAGGATTGACCTAACCCAAAGCTTTTTTACAATCCTGGATGAACCTACCTCTGTGGTATCTTTTTGCATTGTTAGGCACTGCAGATAACAGGGTGACTTCTGAATTTCTGGAATCACAGTAGCAGCTCCATGGGCTGAGTACACTCTGTCTTCCATCTCTACCTTCTGAGCTGAAGACTGGAGAGATTCATTTAGTTCTTTTCTGAGCTAACTGTGCATCAAGCCTGGACAAGATGGAGGGATACACAAGAAAGGGGTGCACTGAGCCCCAGCTGCTGGGTGCCTCCATCCTGCCAGGGAGGTGATGAAGTTTCATGTGGGAGACCATCTGAAATCGATGCTATTGCACACTGGGTTAGGAAGAACAGCTGGAATTTGTGGGAAGAGTGTTGACAAAGAGCACAGCTCTGGGCCCCGCCAGAGTTGTAGAAATCAGATTAAAATTTTTATTCTTATCCTTAAAATCACACAGAACATTCCATAGGTTAACTTTGACTTCAAACAGCTGCCTCCTGGTGCCAATGGGCTCCATTGAGCAATCGATGTTTTCTGTTCAAACTCTATCTTGGTATTATCAAAGACAGATTCCGTCTATGTCAATGAACACCTGGCCAGGTGGGCACAGCACATAACCTGGCGCCTCTGCGAGATGACAGCCCACTTTGTTGGGCAGATGAGGGTCCTGACATTTCTGCTGCCATGCCCCAGGGGTGTACTTGATACAGAGATCAGTCTATGGTCAAACCAGAAGGAAGTGTTGTGCGGCAGTGCTGAGGGACCCGCCAGGGGCACTAATGACATCATGGACTGAAAACAAGAACCTGGTCAAAACCACACTGCAGGATTTTCCAGAGGCCATATACCAAATCTGAGCCCTCTGGAGTCTGTCATTGTCAAAAAGAAAACCGGTGACAAGCTATTGTTCCTACTTCAGTGTAGAAGCTGCTCTCTCTCTTGGCAGACCACTGTGGTAGTCGGTGCTTGGGAGCCGTGGCCCTCGGGGGCTGTTCCACAGGCACTCAGGTCACGTGCTAGGCTTCTCTTCTTTGGGTGCTGATGATATGACACAAGGGAAGTGCTTTCCAGTGTGTTAGACCAAAGCTCTTCTCCTTTGCCACTTCTCGACAAGCTGTGGCAGAGCTGAGAGGAGGATGCTTTGGAATCCTTTTCCGAGATGAAGCACTCAGTACCATGGAAGTAGGGAAGAGATGCAGTAACTTCAGGTTATTCTCTTCTAATCCATTTTGAAATCTGTCTCCAGAATAGTTTTATTTTTTTTAAGATTTATTTATTTATGCCTACAGAGCTGGGGTACAAGGCAGAGGTACAGGGGTGGTAAGAGTCTTCATGAGAGACAGAGTGGGGAGCATGTCAGGCAGATCAATGAAGTACACTGTTGAGGGGAGCAGCAGGCGGGTCAGGAGAGGTTTGCTGCACCATGTGGGTCACCTCCGGGGCTGGGGATTGAACTCGCACTGAAGTGGCTGCAGCTAGCTTGCAGTGCTGCATCCTTACCCGTTGTGCCATCAGGGAGGGCCAGAATAGTTTTTTTTTTTTTTAAATCGATATTAGTTTGGTCATTTTTGCAACTCAGTAGATTTCTAGCATACTTTGCTCCCCACCTGTCATCAGAATCATCTCCCTCTGCCCCAGTCTGTCTCCTGCCTACCAAACCCAGGTTATCCTAGCTAGCAAATTTTGGTACTGGTTCACTCCAGCCCTCCTCATCCCCACACACAGGTTCATTTTTGCTCCCCTCTTCCCTCCAGGACTGGGTTTCTCCTTTACCAGGCATCCTCCTCTTCTCATCTTCCATTGTTCCAGATCTTTCTTACTCAAGTGTGGTCCTTTCCCTAATTCAGCTGTTCACATGTGCAAAGATTCTATAGCTTTTGAGTCAATGTCAGTTTTCTATAGCAATGGCCAGTTACACCAAAGCTAGCTATGAGATAGGAAAGAGCATGGAGGAGTGACTGTTTCTTATAATGATCTTCTCTGAGTGTTAAGGACTGGGTGACAGGGCATGTCCAGCAGAAGAGTTAAGAAGATATGGCCCAGATAAAGAAGTTTTGTCATCAGTTTTGAAAGGGCATTTTGTGTTATTTTCTATGTTTTCTATGTTTTCTTGAGAAGCCAAAGCCATGGCCTACATGGCCTCCCGTACCGCCAGCTCTGACCCCAAGACTAGGCACCCGGATGAGTTCTGTTGGATGGATGGGTTAACTGATGTAGACGTGGAGGGGGAAAGGACATGGTGCAGAGTGTGACATGAGTGCCCAAACGTCCCTTACAAGGCACGTTGGAGAAATCCCTCATCCTGTCACTGGCACATCAAAGGCAAACTGATCTAAGTCCAATCTTTTGTTGGGTGCTTATGTGAAATTGTCTCAAAAGTGATAGAATCTTTGCACATATAAACAGCTGACAAATAATGGAGAATGTGTGTCCAAACAAACCCCACTGGCAGGAACGTGGTGCCAGCGAGAGGAAGCCTCAAGCCATCCATCACACCTTGAAAGATGGCCAGGATGGGCCTACATTCCCCTTCAAAGGCAGGAAAGGTTAGTGCTCTGGGAAAATGGAGCCCAATGGCTATTTCAGACACACAGGGTGGCCCTTCCAGCTTATAGGTCATTATTAACTGTTCTTAACCTTCATGGACATGACACACAATCGCTTTTCTAATTTTATTATTGTACTTGCTATCACAAGACCGTAACTTTTTAGGCATTCAGGTGAGATTAAGGGAGGCGGAGGTGGAATAAAGCTTTTAAAATCTTTGATTACCTCAGAAAACATATTTGCTTACTTTACCAGGAAACTGGTTTTTGTTTTGCTTTGTTTTTGACCTATGCCAAGAGGGGATTAATGAGTAGTCGCTGGGTTTGCCAGCTTTCTTTTGATTTCAGTTTATGTAATTAAGCAGTTCCCAGAATGACTTGAGATTCTCACTCAGCATCAAAATATACTTCTCAAATGTGTTAGGTTGGAGGTCAGAAACAATCCACTCTCACTGAATGGAAGGAGGGGAAGTAAAAAACCGATCTTACCTTAAACCATCCTTCCTGGGTTAAGAAGGGCCCATTATGCTTTAGGGCCGTGCACATGGAGCTGTATTGAGTTGAAAGCAGGCTAAAGCTGAAGTTCAAATTGGTCTAAAATTAGAATAACTTGAAATGAGGTTAACAATAGGGAAACCAACTCAGGTTTACTATTGAATTTCCAGCATCTAGAACTTTATCCACAGTGGGTGTTCAAGAACTGCATTGGAAAACAATGTCCGGACGAGGCACCCAGTATGCCAGGCACAGTTCCAATTACTGGGGCTACAGTAAAGAACTAAACCAGCACAAATCCCTCTGTGGGGTTCACAGAGAGCAAGAGTTGGTGATCAGGTTTATTGACTATGGAGTTGTGAGCTAATGTGATAGGGATTGCTGGGAGAATAAGATATGTTCTTCAGGTGCCTCCAGAGACTCTAGGAGAGGTTCTGTCTTGCCTCTTCCAGCTTCTGGTCACAGCTCCTTTCTTCTGCTAGCTCTGACTTTATGCTCACGTTGCCTTCTCTCGTCACATTTCTCTCTGTATCTCCTATAAACACCCTCATGATTATGTGTAGGGCCTATAGGACAATCCAGGATAATTTCCCATTTCAAAACTCTTAGCCTCAACATATCTCAAATTCCTTTTTTATATATATAAAAAGATAACATTTACATGTTAAGGCAGTAGGGCATGGATGTCTTTAGAGGAACAATTACTTGAATTACTGCACATATAAAGGTAACTTGAACCTCCAAAGGGACAGAGACTTGTCCAAGACTGTTCTTCAGGTTTGTCAGAGAAGTTAAGACTCAGGTTGCCTTGCTGACATGTCGGGGCCTCTTGCACTAGACTAAGCTGATGCTCGTAAAATTAAGACACAGGAAGAGATTTTAGAATAAGACCTCATATCCCACTTCCCATCTGCATTCACCTCCCCAGATTGCATTATCACCAGGACTCATCTGCCTTGCGCCTTCTTCCCCCTAGAGTCCTGGTTCTGTTGCACTAGGCTCCAAAATACTTATCCACATCAGCAGCTGTGATGAAATTGGCTAACTGGCATTTTCTCCTCTTTTTCCAGGATCGCCTCTTTTTTGTTATGGAGTATGTGAACGGTGGAGACCTCATGTTCCAGATTCAGCGCTCCCGCAAATTTGACGAGCCTCGCTCCCGATTCTATGCTGCAGAGGTTACGTCAGCCCTCATGTTCCTCCACCAACATGGGGTCATCTACAGGTACCTTTTTCTCCTCCTTTCTTTCCTGCAAGTGAAGAAATAAAGTCTTCTCCAGGCACTTGAGCTGACTTTGGCTCCTGCCCAACTGGTCTCTTAGCAACCTGCTTTAGATTAGTTGTTTGTTCCAATTTGCTTATAGAGGGCTTTTTTTTTTTTGGGGGGGGGGCTGTTTATCACTGTGAATGTTAATATTTGACTAGCCCCAGGAGATCTGACCCACTGTTTGTGCCAGCTTTGATGGAAAGCCCAAGCATGACATTTTAAAGGGTTGGCGCCGAGCGACCTTGGAGTGACCTTCATTTCTCTCTCCCACCCTCTTCCTTGAACATCAGGACATTCTCTTTACTTTTTCCTTCTGTGCCATGAACTTCCGTCCCTTCCCAACCTCTTGCCACTTCCTGAGTTTGTTTGGCTTAGTTGTCTCCAGTAGATAGAATCAGAGGGGGAAGAGTTGCTTGGGGGGTGGGGTATCTCAGAGTTTATGATCTGGGGGGAGGAGAAGGGAACTAGACAGTATCCAACAGGAAGTGACTCTTTGTAGATCATCTAGTCCCTTATTACTGCCCTGTCCCCCTTCCAAGAAAACATAGAAGGAACACACACACAGGCACACACACTCACAGATTATTTCTCACTCTCTCTCTCTCTCTCTCACACACACACACACACACACACACACACACACACACACACACACACACACACACACACACACTTTCCAGTAAGGGAGCAGGGCTATTTACGCAGGTTCTTCTATGAGGTCAGGAATTCTGGGAGGAGTAAATATAATTAGAAACAAGGACACTAATGTTCCTTAAAATTTTTTCAATGACTGTCAATTTCTTTAGTTGGTTTTTGTTTCCTCCTCTTTTTTAAATTGGGTAAAAGTAAAGTTGATTTGGCTTAACTCACTAGAACTTTAGTGACCTGCTCCTGGGAGCAATGCCTTGACTCAATCTTCTTTCAAGGGGAGAGGGGCTTACATAACTCACATCTCAAACTCCCCTGCTTGCCACTGTCTCTTTGCTTCATAAGTTTGCCTCAATGCTCAAAATCAGTGGCTTGCTTTGGCCTACAGAGCAAAGCCCATACTTCTTAGCCTCATGGAATATAATGGTCTCTTACTGGTCAGTAACAAGTCATCTTAAACTTAGTGGCATAAAATAATACCCAGTTAGTGTTTCACCATTCTCAGAAGCCCAGAGTCCAACAAGGAGCCTCTGTGCCCTGGGCCTCAACACCTCAGAGCTGTCAGCTGGCCACACTCTCCTGGAGTTGGGGGTCAACGCCTTTCAGAATTCAGGTGGTTGTGGCAGAAAGCATTTCCTTGCAGCTGTGTTACTCCTGGGGCTGGGTTCTTCAAGGCCAGCAGGAGAAGATGTCTTTCCTTCTTAGATTATCTCACTTTAGGGGAGGCCTGACTTTTTTAAAAGGGCTCACTTGATTAGAACAAATTGATCAGGATAGTCTCTTTTTTGTTTAACTCAAAATCAAAGGATTAGGGACCTTAATTCAATCTGAAAAATCCCTTGGCCTTTGCTTCTAATGTCACATCATCATGACCATGATATTCTCTCGCCTCTCTCGAAGTCTGCTGTCTGGAACTTAGTCACAGGCTCTCCATACTGAAGGAGGGGATGGTGAACTTCTACTAGAGCAGGACTCATTGGGGTCACCTTCGGTTGTGTCTAGACAGCCCCACACACCTTCCTCTCCTCACTTCTCACCAAGATTCCTAGCGTCCTGCAAACTCGCCCACCAGCTCCCACCTTAACCACGTGTGCCCTCCCCTGAATCTCCTCTGTCCAGAGCCCCATACGACACTGCCTGCCTGCAGAGGCCTGGTCCCACCAGCCTGGGTGCGTCTCACCAATTTCTCTGGCTGTTTGTGAACGGACTGTAGTCTAAGCCTTTCATTGCTGCCCCTGCCGGGCTCACCTGGGCTAGGATCAGGCGTCAGGGGTCCATGTGAATCCTTCACCAAGCTGTAAGCTCTCCTCACGGCCATTTCTTCTTCACCTTTTAACTCCTCAAACTCCTTTTCTTACTCTTCACCCCCTTCTTGTCTTGTACATAGTAAATAACCAACACATGACCATCAGCCTCAATTAGTTCAAAGCCTTAATCTCTGCCTCCCCCCAACCAAGGCAGTTTATAAACTTAGTCGCATGCATAGGTGTTAGATCACTGAGAAGGCCACCAGGGTTGGGTGATGAAGAGTTCCAAAGTCTGGTTCCAATGGAAGTAGGTTTAGGGGGCTTCCACACACCAGCATGGTGTCTTAGAATTCAGCTGAATTCTGACCCTATCTACCTGGAGACCGCATCGGATTGCACAGGCTAAGGGCTCATCAGCGCTTCCTAGTTCACATCATGGGCTGACTGTCCAGGGAGCCCCCCATTTAGAAATGTGTAGATTTCATAATGCTAGAGGAAGGGGCTCCCCCGGGGTTTGTGGGAAAGGAGTGCCTATGTGTTGCCAATTGCCGAAGCTGGTGGCAGGTACATGGGGGTTCACTGTTCTGCTACTTTGGAGTATTTTTTTTTCATTTGACATAATAATAGCAATTTTATTTTTACTAAGAATAATGATTTCAGTGTAATATCCCTATCACTTTTGATTCAGTACTCTGGTATGAAGTTAAGGAATCTGTCATTTTTTAGAGCTTCATCAGGTGATGCGGGGGCCACAGGTCTAGAAAAATCCCCTTCTACCTTCAGGACTATGTCAAGTACATCCTCTGCTCTGGGCAGCCCTCCCTGCCTATCCAGCTGGGAGGGCCTTTCTGGGTCACATAATATCTTCCTGTACTGGGCAGTTAGCAGGTGCCTTTTCTTCCCCCTGAGATGTCTGTTCTGCGCTTAATAACCACACACAACACTGCTTACCTGCTTGGCCTAGGACAGCGGCCTGCTAACAACAGGTATTCATTTTAAGTATTTAATTTTCGAGTCTGAAATGCTCCAGAACCTCCTAACCTAGTGGGTTGCTACCTTATAGATGTAATGTAAAAGTCTGTGTTGGAAGCTCTTCTAACAAACATCACACGGGCTTTTTTCCCTTTTTCCAAAAGGGCCCATTCCTTCTTGCTCGATTTTATGGGTGGTGAGCACACGCAATCTCTGTTTCCCCATTGCTGTGTTTCAAGCTGCCGCCAGAAGGGCTGCAAGGGTAGTCAGCTCAGCTCTTGGTCTGCGCTGGCTACAGAGGGCTATGAGGGTGTGACCTCACCTGTTGCTGCTGGCTATTCTGAGGTCATGCTGAGACCATATTTTGTGTGATAGAGGCTTATTTGGGACAGTGGTAATACCAGGTTTTGGAGGATGAACTCCACAGCTGATGTTGAGATTGAATTTTCCAGCCTTCGTGCTGGAATTTATACACAAGTTAATTAGCAGCTAGTTTGGCCAATGGCCCAAGAACTTAGGAAAGAAATCACTTTTCTGGCCGATGGCTCACACTTGAAGAGGAGCCCAAGTCGGCAGACAGAGCCCTTTCACTGTCCCTTCCTGGGTCAGGGCTCCCACCCGGGCAGCAGAGGACACTGTCCCTGTCCCCTACACAGAGTTCCTGGGGCACCTCTGTGTGCTGTAGTGGGAGAGGACTTGGCTCACCGTAGGTTCACTTTCTGGCTTTCAAAAATGTCTTCCCCTCCCCTTGAATATTTGCATTTACCTGAGAGGCTGAGGACTGAAGAGTGGCCCTTCTTTCCAAGCTTGGTCCCGGAAACTTTCTACTCCTCCACCTCATGCTCACTGCCTGTCTGGTTCTCTCCGAGCTGCTCAGGAGCTTGGCTGGCCTTAAGAACGCACGCACAGGAGGGGGATGTGTGGTCTGCCTGGAACACAGTGGGCAGCCAGGGGCCCTGGGAAGAGAAGCCCAGACTGTGCCTTCTTATTCTGTGTAGAAGCCAGGGGCACATGGCAGGGGGTGGTGAGACTGTGCCCTCTGCCTCTGTCACCAGGTGCCTCGGGGTCCTCATCTGTAAAGTAGTGATCACAGGTGTCTCTCTCTCACTAAATCCTGAGGGGATTCAGCAGGTTAATAGGTCTAAATAATTTTGAATAGTACCTGCTACACAGCAAGTTCTCAATAAAATGTGGTCGATCTGCAGATGGCCAACAGGCATATGAAAAATGTTCAACATCACTCATAATAAGGGAGATGCAAATTAAAACCACAATGAGATACCACCTCACCCCAGTGAGAATGGCACATCTTCAAACAACTAGCAACAACAAATGTTGGCGAGGATGTGGAGAAAAAGGAACTCTCCTGCATTGCTGGTGGGGATGCAAACTAGTACAACCACTATGGAAAACTGTTTGGAGGTTCCTCAAGCTGCTAAACATGGAGCTTCCCTACGACCCAGCAATCCCACTCCTAGGTATCTACCCAAAAGACACAAAAACACTGATTGAAAAAGATACTTGTACCCCCATGTTTATTGCTGCTTTATTTACAATTGGAAAAACATGGAAGCAGCCCAAATGCCCAAAAGTAGATGACTGGATTAGAAAGATGTGGTACATATATACAATGGAATATTACTCAGCAACCAAAAAAGAGAAACACATGTCTTTTGCAGCAACTTGGATGGAGCTGGAAAAGATCATGCTTAGTGAGATAAGCCAGAAAGAGAAAGAAAAATACCAGATGGTATCACTCATAGCAGGAGTATAATGGACCAGGCGAGAAAATAACAAAAATAATGAACAACCATATACCAGAGACATTTTGTGGGGGTGGAGTGGGGAATGGGATCAAAAATGGGGGGGGGAGGGAGGGAAATGCACGGGACTATGGTGGTGGCACAGGGGTGATTTGGTGATGGGAAACCCGCGGGGATTACAATCGAGATGGAAAAAAAAAATGTGAAAAATGATGTAAAAATAAACTTTGTAATAAAAAGAAAAAGAAAAGGAAGATGAAGAAGATGAAAATGGAGTGAGGCAGTTTGGGGGAATATAGTGATGAGAAATAAATTGGTTCTAGAGCAA